CAAGCGAGATTATCGCGATGTTAGTAAGAGTCACTACGTTCGCCGGTAGGTTCTCAACGCCGTACGCTCTCGTAGTCGTCATGGAAACGCCTCTTTGAGATTCTCCCTCGAGTCGAGTGTAGGCAGTTAGCAAAGAAGAAGGTACACAGGATGTAAGGTCGATTCTTAGGAAAATGATACTGCTCTCTCCCGTAATATCGAATAATATAAATTGGACGATAAATCTAAACGATGTGGAATCTATAAACGTGCTCGTGTATTAGTCAGCGATTTGTCTTTGCAGCTTCAATCTGCTTCGGAGATGTTTCTTTAAAAGCGAACTTCATCGCTGATACAAAAGTATATTGCGAACATTTCGATTTATTCGATTAACTCGTGCGATTTTTTTTTTTACTTTTGATAACAGACTTGTCTATTTTCGAAAGCTGAATCTGGGCTCTTTGAAATCGATAATGACTCGGATAGAACGGCATCTTTCCCTCTATAAACGGCAAGATGTTCTTTTATTTTCCTCCATTAGAAGGGTGATATCGATGCTTAAAGGAATCGTCCTTCGTTGGAATTAAGGGATATAGAAAGGATAAATCCGGACGAAGACTTGGAACGATCCTCGCGAAATCCCGAGCGACGAGCGATTCATCGTACTTTTTTACCCGATCGGATCCTCTTCGTGTCACTCTTCTGTCGCTTAGTACTGGCTTATAGGACTCCGGCCTTCGAAATCCGCGGCAAGGATCCGATGTATCGTAAAAAAAAAGGGAAAAGTGTTGGAAAATCGAAGATGACCTATAAACTGGGATGTCATCGTCGCGATATAACGACCGGTATGCGACTCGTTCTTCGTTTCCTCTTTCTAAGAAAATATTTTATAGTCAAATCGAGCATGTAGGTACTGGATTTTTCATTAAAAAATATGCTTGTACGATTTTTTACAGCGTATTTGTCGTCTTCTTCTTTTTTGCAATATTTTATTTCATTTTGTCGATTTCGCATAGCTTATTGTACTTAATTTTTTTTCTTGTGATCTTAATTTTAATTTTAATTTAGGAGACTCACACGTTTTTTATTGACATCAAAATCTGATTATATAATTGTGATAGATATTTGTGTGTTTGGGGCCTAATAAGAAATATAATTTATTTACGAGAGATTCATATTTGAAATTAATGTTATCGGACGAAAGTAAAATTGTCGTTAATATTTAATAACGTATAATAATTGGATAACAGTAATAATATATCATTGATACATTTATATAAGCTGTAGATTGTATAACTAGGCCGTTAATCAAATATTCATTAGATGCAGTGTCATTTAATTATTAGATTCATTCGCGATTCATCGCGCACGGTCCCACCGTCAGAATTTCTATTATGTTAATCGTTAGATGCGACACTGTTCGTGTCGTCTATATTATATTATCATCGCGCAGATAATTATCTCCGGCAACTAATGCCGCGTTTTGCCCCCGATATAACGAGCGAGAGCGTGGATCCCCCGGCCCATATATTCATAATGCCTTGCTCCTGCATCCCGCGCGATACTTTGTCGCTCGCCCTTTTCATTCCCTCCCCTCAAGATCCGATAAATTTATCCTTCTCGATCTTTCCTCCGTCCAATCCGCCCGCCCTCTCTCTTTCTCCTCCCTCGGGGACCCTTCTCTCGTCGCCCCGCGTTTTCGTCCGTGAGGTCGGACGTGAAACATTTATAGTGTCAGGACCGTGTAAACCGCCGACGAGAGATAGAAGGTGCCGGCATACCAGGACTCTGAATGGCGTCGTCGGGTGTGCGCGCATGTGCGTTCCAGCTGCAAAACGCACGTCCACGCGTGGAGGGTTCTAAAAATACGCGCGCGCGCGCGCGCGGCCATCCCGAGTGCACTTGAAACTGCAGCAGCAGCAGCCGAGTTCGCGGGAGAGAAAAAAGAAATGGATTTTACGACACCCGATTCGATATCGCGTGCGCTGCTCTTCGAGGAAACGTAAACATGAAAAGTGCATGTATATACTTTGAAAAGGATCTCGATTGATTGAAACTCGGACGATCAGACTTTTGGTTGATTATACATGTCTAAATAATTGTCCCCTTATAAGGCACAAAGATAACGATAATTAGTCAAATGGCGTAACCAGAGAATAATTTATTATATCGATTCAAAGCCAAGTCGCGTAGAGAAAAAGAGAGAGAGAGAGAAAGATGATTTTCTATTTATAGTCCTGTTTGAAAATGTACGAGAATAACCAACATCCGTGAAGTTTTTCGTAATTTTTTCCTCTCATAACATCTGCGAACTTTTATCGATCTCTTTTTATATACATCTCCTTCCTGAGAAAGCATGAACTTCAGTCGTGGCTTATCACTCGACGTTATGGTGAACTGCATTTATTTGATATTTCCTTAGATATCGTGCGCGCGATATGTTTTATAGTCATCCATGGTAAATGCGCCGTGAATATATCCCGTGGATGAGGATATCTCTATATTTCCACCGTCGCTAGCTATCACGTCGACGAGAAGGTACATCGAGATCCCTTTCCATCTGGAGGGCGTTCTGCCGCGTTATTCTAAGCACTATAGCTTTTGCACCCTCTCGTCCCATCTCTTGGTTTCTATGGTGATCTGAAGAGGGGTTGCGTCCCCCGTGAGAGAGAATCACCCCGCAGGTTGATTGTCGGTAGTGTATGTATGTATATATATATATATAGCTCGCTATATATATATATATATATATATGCGAGGCGATCCATAAACGGCGAAATACTTCCTACTTCTTGCGTACACAACTACTCGGCAGACGATTCGTTTGCGGTTTATCGTTTATACTTTCCCTTATTCCTTCGTCATCGCTCGTTATCGGAGAAAGTGTTAACGCAGAATAACGAGGTAGATCGATTCGCGATAAACTATAACGAACTGGGAGCTGGGAGGGCTCTTTAAACAAGTTTCGGCAGCGCGTGTCTATTTGTCAGTATTACGAGGTTTTGCGGATTTGTGTTGATAATAACGGATGCGCCACATTTGGGCGAGAAAAATCCCGCGTTCCATCCCGTTCGCAAGGGTTATAAATTGTAATTGCCGGCGACTGGACCATCGCGATATCGCGCCTTTCACATTATTCGTCCCTCCATGGCGCGGACTCCTATCCCTGGCCACGTTCCAGGGGGATAAATTGAACGGGATTTCGTTGTGTCTCCCGCAACTTCCTCCCCGACAGCTCTTCCGCCGAACTTTTGCCGCGCGCTCTCGCTCGTCAGTCGGTTCCACTTGCACGAACTTTCGTTGACTTTATCGAACCGGACGAATGCGGCGAACGCGCGACGAGACTGAAATAGTAGTCTACCGCTCTAGACGACGATGTAACTCGGGCTTGTCAGCGCCGTCATAATTACAGACCGCGATCGATAACTTATCACTCGGAAGCTCGGAAGCACGTACAACTAGTCTACCCAAAGAGTTAATAGCTCTTGAACAAATACGATACAATATTTCGTAATTTTTGCTGTTTTTTTTTTTTTTACACATGTATGGCTTTTGATGATTTATTATATAAAAAAAGAAAAAAATATATTGCAATCTTCTCTTTAAAATTAACCGAAAGAATTGTCAAGTAATAATTCATGTATGTATAAAGTAAAATTATTTTCTAAAAAGTCTAAAAATCACGTAATACAGCTAGACACACATACGTCGGATATGTAATTAATTATCTTTGATAGTCTTGTGGGAGCGGAGAGATAAATATCTCTTCTACAAAGTTTAAATCGCTAGGAGAGTTGATAAAATTTTGAAATTCTATTAGATAGATAATCCATAGAGATTATACGCGTGGAATCTTATTAAGATGATATGCATACTTGCGCAAAATACGGATTATTCAATCGATGCAGTATTTCTTACGTTGAAATGTTTCACAGCATATTGATTAAAATCATGGAATTAGCGAAGAGGACATATTGCAAGCGTGCTTATCGGGAAAGACGATGGGAAAAAGTATCGTTTATACGAATAGGGCAATAAGAAACAATAATGAGCACGCGATGCGTGAGTGCGAAGCACGAATAACGAGCGATGAACAATTTCGCAATTCTGTGTAATTGCTTCGCTTCAAGAAAATTGTGAAAGCAAGCGAGAAACCGATTATCTCTTCCCGTATCTACGAACGTCTTTCTTTCGAACAATTTTAGATTGATTTCGCGCGTTAAAGAAAGATCTAAACATTCTTACTTTTTGCTGCAAAGAAGTATTGAAGCTAAATAATACGAAATATATATAATTACATAAAATCGCGTAAATTATAATATATAAGAAAGTATATACTGAAAGAAAAAAATTATTATAGTTATCATAAATTATAGTTATTTTTGGCGGCAATTATATTTAATATTATTATTACTAACATATACGTTATTATTATCAACACACACACATTATAATAGTAATAATTATAAAAATAGAAACCTCAACTATAATCTTTTTTATTATACAATTATAGTTTATCCTTTTTCTCAATGTATGAAAAAAAATCCCACAACATATCTTTTTACAGAAAAGAGAAAAGATATTTTAGAAAACACTCACACACACACACGACTAATTTTATTTCTCAAGTAAGATTATTTTATTGAAAAAAAAAAAAATCATAAATATACACGTACACAAAAGCATATATACACAGTACATAGATAGAGTCTTGAATGTGGTGACAAAATGCTTTTAACAAGACAGTAGTCGTATCTTAGTGAATAAAGACGTCGGTATACGCGCGCATGTATAAATAAGAGGATGTGTTTGCCGAAACGTCAAGTGTAAATCCTGAGTCAATCGCGTCGCACAGTCTCACCGGGCTTTGATTAACCGCGCGTATGCATACATATATAGATGCACACATACGTGCGCTCCACATCGAGATCGAGCTCGAGTCTCGCAGTAGTACGCGAGGGCGACCGCGCGGCGGCGCTGAGATCGGCGTGTCTGGTGGCGTCGCTAGTGGTCAATGGCGCCGGTTGATAGCGGGATCGTTGTTAGTCACGTCGGGACCACGTACAGTGACGGTCGTGGAGATAGAGAGTCGCAAAAACTCGATAGACAGAGACAAAAACGCGGAACGATCGCGAGAAGAAAGCGATATCGTGGACGGGAAGCATCGCTGTGAGAAAGAGAGAGAGAGAAAGAGAGGGTGACAGAAAAACAGCGGGCGGGCGTATCCAGTACAACGCCACCGTTCCATTCTCGTTTCAGCAGCATTAAAGCTCCAACGATTCGTGCGCTGCTAATTCCGGTGCGTGGGTCCATTGGTGCGCGCGCGTGCGTGTATGTATTATCGCGTGTGTATCTTCTACCTCGTTTCGGTGAGTGCGGGATTCTAGGAGGCGGACGTGCGTCGTTGGTCGTGTCGATCTCGTTTTTTTTTTGTGCCCTCGACATCTCCGCGACGGAGGGACGAGGCGTCGCGACGAACAACGCGTCATAGTAGTGTGCCTAAACGCGGAAAGGAGAAGAGATAGGAGTGTGCCCGTAGAGAGGAAGAGCATAAGCAGGCAGCGTAGAAGAGAGGCGGCGGTGGAGGCGGAGGTGGGGGAGGCGGCGGTACGGAGTGACGGATTTGTTTTCTTGCACAACGGTGGAGCAAAACGGCCTCAAACTGTGGGGCTCTGGGGCGTTTTTCCTTCCTCCGCAAGGGATGTACTACCCTGTAAGTGTTCCGTTACTATTTTATGACCGACGAAAATGAACGTAGCTGTACGCGCTGTACGCGCTGTACGCGTACGAGCTCGTCTCTCTTTCCTTCGAGCTCTCGTTTTCCGCTCGATGCTCGATGAAAATAAGCGAACGTACCGCTGTACATTCTTACGCCCCTGTCTCGTTCGCGACGAGGAAAAGCTCTCGAGAACGGGTCGGTTCGATAGGAGGCGCCGGGTCGACGGACCACGCTCTATCCGTCGGCGCGATTCATTCGCGAAACAATCGGACAGAGTGGCGGGAAGAATGCCCTTTATCAAAGTGATCGTGAGACGAACGATTGTATTCTGAAATAACACTCGAATCCGTTCGCATTCACGCGTCAATCTTCCCATAATGCGATCATTTAATTCTGTTCTCTCTTATTTGGACTTACGTTGAAACTAACAAATAATTAGTAGTAGTATACATTTTGTAGCTCTTTTTTTTTTCACGTATAGCTTTAAACATGTGACTTTTTTTGAATCGGCACGATACGTCGTGCTTAGCACGACTTTCATCGATCCGCCGTTCGTGTCTATTCCACCGGAGCCTTCGCGTCCTTTTTTTTCTCTTTCCATTCGATTCTCGTTGCTTCTTCGTCGCACCAACGCGGACGGGGCGCACAAAATCGCGTGAAAGCGGTCCGACGCGGTAAATGTCCTTGAGCATCGCTGGCTCCGTTCGTTGTCTCTTTTCCAGCGTGAATCTTTGTTCCTCCGTAGCCGAAATTACAATATTGTAGGTTATGTTCGGCTTGGTGCTGTAAACGAACGGCGAAAGAGACAAACCGATGAAAGAAAGAGAGAGATAAAGAAAGAGATATATATATGAAGAGAAAGGGAAAGGAGATGAGGGAGCGTGGGAAAAAGCGAGACAGCGTTATTCTACTGGCTAGCTCGTTTTCGGAGCAACGCGGACGGAGGGACGCCTTGATCGTCGACGGCGCATGGCTCTTGTATTAGCGAAAATGAACGTGAAATCGAGAAAATGCTCTCCGATTCGACGGCGAGAGAGACGCTCTGCCGTTTGACGCTGCGCGTCGCGTTAGCCAGTGAAAGTTAAATAGCCGCGTGTCTCTCGCTGCTGCTAATATACGATAATTGAATAAATAATATTCCGCGGTAAATAACGTTCTAAGATTTTTAGCGGGATTAGCCGAGGTGTAAATGGTGACGCTGTAATATTTTTCGGCGAGAAAACCAATGACAGTTGTTGCAAAATAGCTAAAAATACGGTTTCTTCAACAGATGGCATACCATTATGGATATGTTTTTTCGTGAGAAAATATTGCAGTGTCATTCGCTTTGAAGTTGAAATTAGTCTTTATTCACAGGATTTTAAGGATGATTAGTTGGTTTGTAAAGGTATCGTGGAATTTCAAAGAATGGAATATTGTTTCATAAGCAGATAAAAATTTTGAAAATTTTTTATTGGCGTACTTTAAAACGAGATGTATATGCGCCGACACACACATATACAAATTAATATAAATTCCTTGCGTGTCGAGAATCGTGCAATAATATATTGGCAATAATATAATAGAAAATCATTAATTAAATAAATTTGATTCTCTTCCTAAGAAAAGAAAATTAAAATATAACAAATTAAATATGCATTTAATTATTTCTGTAATATATTATATTACAGATAAAACGATTTGTAATATAATGAGAGCTTTCGTAAATCGTTACTACTTAAAATAAAACTTGATACTAAATTATAATTTTATACTCACATATATTTAATTGACTAATACATATATATAAAGAAAGCAAGGAAATGCAAAGAAAAAGAGAGACACGATGTGTATATATAAAATCATAAGTATAAACGAGGTTAATATTCCACTTTCTCTTCCAACATATATCCAGAAGTTTCCGCATTTTTTTTGTATCTCTCTCTTTCTCTTTATTATCATTATATTTAAAATAACAAAACCGCAGGTGTTCCAAAATTTTTATTTGAGCGGAGGTAACAGAACGCGTGCGCACATGCAACGAGTAGCTCTTGTTGGGGCTATGCATGTTATTTTTGTATACGATATTCCATATATATATATATATATATATATATAATGTTCTCTCTCGAGAGAGAGCACGCAGGTAGACGCTCTATAAAACGAAGCGGAGAATACCGGCTTTTCCGGACCCGAAGCCGACGAACGGTCCCCCGCGCCGCTCGCACGAAAGGCAGACCTCTTCTTTGTTCGCACAGCCGTCGGTAGAGGATTGAATTTCGCTCACAATGTGAAGCTGACCTTTTTCTTTCTCGTCCTCGGTAGGCCGTGTACAACGTTTGGTCGCGCTGTGTTGGTTTTACCAGGAGAAGGACTGCTCGAAACTGTAATTTACCGACCGTCCTCGGGTCGAGGATCGAGGGAAAAGAATGCGGTATTTTCGATTGCCTGTGTCGTATCTCTTCGTATCTCACCTAACGGTCGAACCATCTGGAAAATTCAACGCCGATCGATATCGCGCGCCGAAAACCCGACATCTAGCAGATCGCGAATTTCTTTACAACCTTAGAAGAGTAAATAAAGTCGCGCGGTGAAGAGAAATATTTGCGTTGAACGATACATAACACGCGGCGGGTTGCCAGTTTTGTTTATTCTTTCATTTCGTCTTCAACGTCTTTCGAGTAACTTGGTTTTACGTCGTGTTCGCCGCTTGGAAAATGATTTAGTATATTTTTTGTTATATTTTTTTTTTCATTAAAGATATGCAAAATATTGTCATACACAGTTTTCATTTTTTATTGAATTTTTTGCCTTTTTTAACTTTCACGCCAATAAAATAATTCTCTTTCGCTTTGTATGAGACAGACAACAGTTGGCTAGTTGCAAGTGTAATCGATTAGTTTTGTTGGCTGCGATAAATGTTGCGTGTGTTATACCTTACAACACAAAGTACAATAATTTGAGAATGCGTGTCTCGTCGCTTTCGCAGCGCCTTTCTATTTCGCCGATAGAATCGACCACGTGTTTACCTTTACGCGCCACTCTCGAGGTGCGTGTGTTGGTATCGCGCTTTCTCACAACATTACGTTGCGTCACGCAGTGTAGCCGGTAGCTACATATATCTCTTACTTTTTTTACACGCTGGATAGATACAGGTTTGTTGGCGGTTTTACACAGTCGCGAATCAGGTGGAATATACCGATCAGTGATTTGATTTATCCTCACATTACCTGCGACCGATTTGAATATAACCCGATTGAAATTGCCCATAGTATTAAACTGGATTAAAGTCAAGATGATATATTATCATACGCCCGGATAGCAGATTTTGCATCGACTTGGCTATGAAAATAAATCATTGTATCTTGATGCGTATTTGCACGATGTAATAAGGAGACTTATATTCTGTATCGAAAAAAATATATCCCAGAGTTTGACAAAATTTTACCTTTGACAAAAATTTATATATGCGACAACATGCGTTACGTTATTATTACAAAGATTGTGTTGATGCCTGATATATGATATGTAAATAATAAAAAAACAGCTAACTCTTTTTTCCTAATGATTTGGCTATCCAATTCGATGCCCATATATTTTATAAAATTTAAATTGATAGTTTGCTTGACACGAAGAGGGCTGTCGCGAGATAATATAACTAGATGATATGTAATTTAATAGTACTTGTGTATTGTGGATAGACAGAGAATACATACGCAGTACCGGTACCGTTATTGCGTGAAAAATTGTTTTGTGGGTCAAGTGTCAATTGTTCTCCGATGTGGCACGTTCGAATGTTAGCTTTCGTGTTGGTGATGCTCCACGTTTGATCAATTTTCATACAACTCACTGTATTGCTTTCGTATAGATATGCCGACATGCAGTTTTTGGGAGAGATATATATGCGTCGCGTTGGAATTGTCGCCTATATTTCCTCGTACAATGTTTCATGTGTGTAGTTGTTTTTTTTTGTCAGTGCATATTTCAGAATATAGGTCAGATCTAGTTATTTCAAGCCAGTCTATCGATACTTTACTTTGAACGACATCTTCGTTTAACCTTTCTTCAGTGCTCCTTATAAAAGCACAGATACGAGATTCAAAGGGGTTATTTCTTCATAGAGCGGCAATATTTTCTATATACATTGCATTTTTCTGACAGAAACACAAATTATATGATAAAATTATTTTTATAAAATAATAACGCTATACGAGAGAAATAAATACGTATATCGTAAAATCATCTTTCTCTTCAGAGTGTCGTAATATTACTCATTGTCAGTACGTTCTGAATTAACATGCGTTTAAATATCTTGAGTATTATTCTCATGATTTTTAAATAAATATAAAGCGGATCTATCTGACATTTGTTTTTGGATATTTTCCAAAATTAAATATAACTATAGATAAATAGCATGTCTTTCTCTCTCCATCTTTCAATTTGTTTTTAAATTTTATTAATGTATCTAATAATTTTTGTGTATAATGCTATATATTAGCAAACTGAAAATATTATTCGTGATTTGACGACTTTAAAAATGGATATTTCTTTTTTTTATTTACATGCTTGGTGCCGCGAATGTCGTCTTGTGAACGATATTCACATCACGTATTTACTTACGCATTAGGAGTATCTTTTTTCTTTGGCTATCCAAGATCTCGTATTATGTTTGATATTCGCTTGCGGTGCACGTATAAAATGTGCGGACGCATTTCATCCATGTTTCTGTTTAATTTTCTTGACAAAGAAAAGTATTACTCTTTGTCATTATCTTTCCGTAAAAATTAAATAGGTGTCTTCTGCAATTTTTATCATTTTACAATATATATACTTCTGTAAAAAATTCTTTTATTTAGTAAAAATGTACTTTAAATTGTACTTAATTTTTGTTTAATTCTTGATTAATTTTGTTGTTAATTTTAACTCGCTTTCTAAAGTTTATGATATTCTAATTTTTACGTTGCTTATATGCATATAAAGTAAATGTGTCCCTTTTTCCTTTTTTCAGCATAATA